ATGAATCGTCAAGTTGAAAAGGTGTCTTGTCTTAAACAGGGTTGCGAAACGAACGTTATTATCATTATAAGTAGTAGTAGTAGTAGTATTAGTAGTATTAGTAGTAGTGGTAGTGGTAGTGGTAGTGGTAGTGGTAGTGGAAGTGGTAGTGGTGGTGGTGGTGGTAGTAGTAGTGGTAGTAGTAGAAAAGGTGTCTTGTCTTAAACAGGGTTGCGAACATCATTATTATTATGTCCATTCCTTGTAGACTCAGACAGGATAGTCCTTGGGAGCGGGTTACAACAAGTCGCCACGAGTCCCAAGTCTCTCTTTTCCTTCTTCTTACAGGGACAGTACTTTCTTAGTATCTTTGCTGTCCCCAACAATGCTGTTTTCTGGATAACTTCCCACCCCACGTTCACGCCGATTCGCTTCACGTACTCCTTAAAGCTGTAATTGTTATTATTATTATTATGTCGCAGTATGAAACTTTGGAATGCTGTCCACATTATGAGTAGTATAGGGCGCATAGCGTAACCTACACCACTTGAGAAACTATACTTAGAAGTAAAAAAAAGGTTGATACGAAACCTCATACGATCCTAAAATACATAGTGATATGAATCTCTCTACTTAAAAAGCCAATTTAGAATATTATTAAATTCTGATACTCTGTAAAACCTTCGCTATCTCTACTAAAAGCTTATTTATAATAATATCAAACTCTAATGTTCTAAAAAATCTAAGTAAAAAAACGTCAGCAAGCTTGTGTTTCTGGATTTCTAGAGAAAAAACAAAAACCTAAAAACTGAAGTCCTTAGCGCCCTAACTAAGTATTTATCTTAAATGTTCTGGCAATGTTTAAAGTGTTTGAGATAACCGACTTCTGCATCCGCTCAAGTGCGCTCCGTGCTCTCGCTCCAATTAGCTTCCTTAATTCCTCACCGACTTCTCTAGGCGTTTAGAGTAACCACCCAGTACGTCAATTATTACGTTGTACTATTCAACCCTCTAACCATTGTATCTCTGCAAGCTTCAGCTCCCACATCATGGGCCCATACTTGAGTGTCTTTTCCTCATCTTTCTTAGCTCTACTCTCAATCCATGGGCAGCTCATTTCAATTGTGCAGACTTCTTTCCTCTCGAGGCTGACGCGTCGATCCGATTTGCTCTAACTTCGTTGTACTTTGCATAGATGGGAATATCCCAAAACGCCTCACTCGTGGTGTTCTGGTAGGCTGGTTTTGGCATCACCGGTGAGTACCATGGTGGAACCTCTTCTATTAACCCATGCTCTCGCAGGAGCTCAAAAAACAGAATCTTCAAACCTGCATTATGCCTGTATAGGTACTTGGTTTGTGCCAGGGAGGAACATCCAGCCAATATGTGTGCAACGCTCTCAGCTACCTTCCCACATAACCTGCATAGAACTTCGCCATCGGTGGAGGTTTGCGTCTTCTCCTTTGTGTAGAGCTTCGTAGGTAACAACTGCTCATACAATTCATACATGCCCGCGAAGGTATATGTAGGGCATGTAGCCCAACCTTTTAACCATGCAAAGCAGCTGGTTATGCTTAGGCTCTCATCTTCGCATCTGATACGGAATAACTTTCCTTGCCCCTTTTTGTCTTTAGCGATCTCCAAGAACTGCTTCTCTTGAGATTGCTTCAACAGATTCCCAGCTCTTGCTGCAGTTACCACCTTTCCTTCTGTTGTAACACACACGGGATTTAGGGTATCAAGCTGAAGTGTGATATTGAGTTCTTTCGCGTACTTAGCTGCTTCCTTTACGAGCGACTGGTGGCCTGATGCCATGGCGTGTTCTTCAAATTCTTAACTGCTTCCAACTGCTTCCAACTTCTTAACTGGTCCGGGTTCTGATACAATTTCAGTAGCGATTTGATTTTAGTGATCTTGTACTCGTGTTAGACTGATCGCAGGCCTCTACCCCCTTTCTCCCTCGGTAGACATAACAAAGAAGTCAGGCTAGCTGGGTGCTTGCCACCGTTCTCAACTATGATCTTCCGAGCTGCTCTGTCCAAATCTCTTAACTCTGATAGAGGCCAATGCTGTGTCTACATTAAGTACCGCAGGACCGGGCGTGCATACTGATTAGTTGCCTGCACACGGTTACAATCAGACAGGGGGCTGGACCATATAATAGATATCCTGCGTAGACACTCTTTAGCCGCACAAGCTAGGGCCAGCCATTCATCCTGTCGAACGTTCTCTAGCACCCCCAGGAATTTGTAGTGTTTTCCTTCCCCAAGAGCCGTGATGGTAGTTGTCTCGTCCATCCTAATACCAGACTCGTCTAGCACTTGGGCTCCCCTCTTCACGTGTACCACTGAGCACTTTTTCTGATTCCTGTGGAGGCCGATGTCCTGCATCGCTCCTCTAGTCTCTTTCAGCACTCGGTTCAGCTTGCTCTCGGAGGCAGCAAAAACCTTCAGGTCGTCGATATACAGGAGATCGGTGACTTTGACTCCTATAGGCTTGGATAACCGGTATCCCTCTGTTGCCCGCAGGCGCCACGCTACAGGGTTCAGGCACAGTGTAAACAGTCTAGGACACAAAGCGTCCCCCTGGGGTAGTCCCTTTATGAACCTTATTTTTCTAGAAGTCTCTCGCCCTTGCCTTGTTGTAGCTACTACGTTAGTATTCCAGCTCGCACACAACTTGCGTATAACCTCACCCAACCAGACGGGAAGCCTGTGTACGTCAGTCATTGCGCATAACCAATCATGATCGACGGAGTCGTAGGCTTTGCGCACGTCAATCCATGCCATACTTAAATTCCGTTTGCCTCTGTGACAATCCAGCATTACTGCTCTATCGATTAGCAAGTTATCCATCGTACCGAAACACCCTGATTTCGCTCCTCTTTGCTGGCCTTCCATCAGGCCATAATGTTCAAGGTGTTGGTCCATGGGTGCCAGGAGGCAAGATGTCAACCACTTATACATGTTATTCAGACAAGTAATAGGTCTTTAATTTTCACTGAGGAACTCGCCTTCTTTCGGAATGAGGGAGGTTTTCCCCTCAGAAAACCACACGGGGTAATCTTCGTCGCTCTTAGAAACTTCTTTAAAGCTCTCGACCACACCCTCGTGCAGGGTGCTAGCACGTTTCCACCAAAAGTTAGTGATTTTATCAGGCCCTGATGCACTCCAGTTGCGCTTCTTGGACAGGACTTTGACCGCTTCCGCTACTTCGAGAGCCTATTCGTCGCCTGTCGGTGGCGGTACTTGCTCGTGGATCGCGAGCTTTACTTCCTGCAACCAGGCCGCGTTCTTATTCGTAGTCCCTCTCTCTTCCCACAGCTTTCTCCAAAACCCGCTCGCCTCTTCAATGTTTCAATGTCACGTTGTGAATAGTCTCCAGAGTGGGCGCTAATTGTTTCCATTATCCTGTTTGCTGACTCTAAAAAGCTACACTTTTCTTGATCACCGTTGTTAAGCTGTTGTTCTTGGGTCAAGGTTGTATGCAAATCCGGATCTGAGAAAAGATCACCATTGTTACGCTGTTGATTTTGGGTCAGGGTTGTATGCAAATTCGGTTTTTCTTGATCAGCATTTTTTGCTATTTGGCGTCCGTTGTTTAAGGACCCTTCTGCGTTATCTCCACCTCTCTTTGCTTTTATTCCGTTAGTGATAGTACTAATTACGCTGCCTAGGGATTTTTCAAGTCGAGCGGCTTGGTCTCGTAAATTCTGCTTTGTAAACCCCGTATCTTCGTGCCCCATTTGATCCCATAGTTCTTTCATAAGTTCCATATACCCCTTTCGTCTTCCATTATTCTTAACTGGCGGATTATTTTATTATTATTATTATTATCATTATCATTATCATTATCATTATCATTATCATTATCATTATCATTATCATTATCATTATCATTATCATTATTATTATTATTATCATTATTATTATTAGCAGGGTCAAGGTTTGAATAGCCTGTTTCAGGCTTTCAGATTGTGGGGACAGCACCAAAAGGAAGAGGGGAACAGAAAAAACAGTGAGGGTGAGGTAGGGGGTGGGGTAGGGGGTGGGAGCGAGGGTTTCCTCCTCTCTCCCTCTTCCTCTCTTCTTCCTTATCTTTTTCCCGCTTTCTTACTTCGAGCTACACTCTACAATTCGAATGCCTGGAACAGGCTAAGGCTTCTTGAAAGCCTTGGCGGCACACCTCGACCCAAACTCCCTTGAGTGTGTTTTCCCAGCTCTGGGCAGCAACCATAAAAGTAACATTCGGGGTAACCTTGGCAAAAACCAAGGGAATATCGTGTTCATGTCATTCAAAGTCCTTTGTGCCGAGCTTGCATATATCAGTAATAGTTCTTCTCCTATTTCAAAATTTTCCCCAGCTCTTAGAAGCCCGCTACTAAACCAGCAAGGCACCCACCCTGATTCCCCAGTGGACTGCTTGCTAATTAAAATTGACCATTTTCACCGAGACCATAATGCACCTTGCTTATCCCCTAAACTTTTACATAATCATTGTTTCCAATTTCTCCTGAGAATTGATTATGCAAAATTTTGGGGAGTAAGCAAGGTGCATTAAGGGCTCAATACTAACTTTTATTTTACTTTTTCACGATCTACCTAGTGCCCCAAGGTGCTTTTATTTGAAGCTAACTACATTTGACACGAAATAAAGTGAATACATGCACATATACACAGCTTTTAAATCATCAGATTTTATGCTTCAAATATAGATGCGCACTTTAAAACTGGTTCTCAGAGCTCGAACATTTTCTATTCTAGGCCTCACGCCCTTGCGGAGGAAAGTTAAGGCCTCCGTGGTCTTTTTTCGGAAGATCTTACTTTCAGTTACAAAGAATTGTGAAAACGATTACAAAATTACGAATGAGCGCAACAAACAAAAATGTCTTTATTTTTCTTTATTAAACAATTTAACATAGGAAGTTTTAGAAAGCACTAACGTAACAAAGTATCAAAAGTGAAAACAACAAATTTAAGTCACAGCTTGCTTTCAGTGATTTCGTCTTTCCGACTTCTGTTTTACATCTCTTCAAACTCTTGTATAGTTGCGTTGTAATCTTCATTCGCAGCGTCATATTCATCTTTGATTTTAGCAAGTGCCCCTGAAATGTAATGAATTGAATTGAGAATTTCATAACGAACATTTTTCAATCTTTGACCCTTCCTACAACTATTTTTTGTTACACAGGGACTCGCCTGCGTGCAGGCTTTCTTGTGCGTTTACAGCGTCTTTGGCAGTACCCCCCCGCCCCCGGGAGAGATTGCTTGTCACTACTCTAACATTCAACTCTGTAGGGAAAATCCCACAATCTTACCATTCAAGTGAAACCTCATTTGCAGACTTTATGCATGGTGCTTAAGATTTTACAAAAAGAGATTTTGACAGTTTTGGGAGTTCTGATAGGCAGGTTTTGATTTTGAAATTTGTTTTATTTAATAGTCCTTTTACAAGTGACCTGGTCGTTCGAAAAACTGGGCCCCAGGCCGCCCTATATTAAGAGCGTCGAGGTGTTGGGTTCTCCGTCATAATGGAAATTGGTCGCATAATGTGAAAATATAAAAAGACTAGCGGAAAACTGGCTTTCAGAGCCAGTTCAGCGACAGAGACGGGAAAATGTGAAACTGTTGCGAAGGGTAACAAATATGGAGCTGTTGCTAAGCACGGGTAAATGGGAAACCGGTTCTAATTAAGTAAACAAACTCTTACCGTCTAAGGCGTCAGCTTCCCTTTCCAGATCACTAACTTTCGATTCGGCTGCATCAGCACGACTCATTGTCTGCAATGCAAAATTAAGATTATGATGACGTATGCAACCTGGAGGAAAATTGCAACTTAGGCATAATCGGCAATCCCTCCCACACTTTGTTAGTTACAGGTACAGTTCACTGCAAATTTGGTGCTCTCTTTGGTTAGTGAAGTTCATCCTTCAAATCTACAGGTGGTCGATGACAAGCATACTTGTTGTTGATGATGCAGGGACACTCAATGGATCTGTTTCCTCAAAATGTCAAAATGGCCTCAGAAAGCTTTATTCATGCTTTGTTGTTGTTTTTAGGTCTTTCACTAAAGATTTCCCGTTGGCTGCCCCTGGTGATGAAAAACTGAGAGTGAATCTGAATCCATTTAGCCCCATTGATTAAGTCGTGTTCTATAAAAAGCTTGAATGTTTTACCTGACAAAGGACCACTATACAATTGAGACAAACCACACGTCTTACAAAAAGACAGAAAGCAGTGAAACATTCTTATCCGGACAGGTACAGTATGGAATACTGTGACGTCATCGTTCTCAAAATTTTTGGTTTTATCCGCCCACAAGACTACGCCAAGATTTCCGTTCCGCCCTGGAGTGAGTTTTCAAAAAGTGTCAAAAGTTGAGGATTCGGTAACCGTGTACATCTGCCATACGTGTAACACGCATGTGGACGAAAGATTACTATCCGTGAAACTATAACAAGAAAAAAATTGCGGGTTCAAAAACTAAGGATACGTGTTGGGTACCCTGGGTACCAGAGGTTTAGTTTCTCGCATGTGTGGGAATGCGTCTGTGCCAGCCAACAGATATTCGGCCAAAGGCCGAAGCCACGAGCAACGAAGCCGAAAGTTAGTGTGGAGGAGGCCTACGCCGACAAGTTAGCAATCATAATCAAACAAAAGTCTTTAAATTACCTCTTCATATTCTTCACTGATACGTGCAATTTTATCTTCCAAGTCCTGCACACGCTTCTTTGACTGCAAAAAAAGGAAGACAATTTTTTATCATGCTTACGACTGTTATGATAAGATCGGAAAATTCTAGCTCCTTTTTTCTATCAGAGACCAAAAAGTCAGCTAACCCGGAGCGATGTTAGACTACTTCGCCCGTGAATATATGCCAGCGTTTTTGGGCGATGGACGTCAACCGGAAGTGATCTTTTGCACTCTTGAGCCGTGATTTTGAACAAATTCTTGGGCAAATCGTCTCTATAAAGGTAAAGACACCTAGTAATATAAATTTGGTAACATCAAGACATTTTAAAAGAGAAAAACGCTCACCCGGTTAACGTTCGTCGATCAAAAACGTTGATGGTTAAACTCCCTACTAAGGAACTTAAGCAAAAGCGTTTTTGAGCGACGCACGTCAACCGGAAGTGGTCTTTTTACATTCCTGAGCAGTGGTTTTGCCCAAATTTTCAGTTAAATTGTCTCTACAAGTGTAAAGAAACCAAACAAGTACATCTTTTGCGTCAAGGCACTTCCGGTTGACCTGAGTCTCTCAAAAATGCCTTTGCTTAAGATCCCTAATAGCACATCTGCGAGGATATAAGCTTGGTGCCTGATGATCTTTCAGCATTCAACGACGTTGAATGCAAAAATCATAACCTGCCTTGCCAGCAGTTTGTTTGGCGGGGGAAAGGGGGGGGGGGTGGCGGGGAGTTGGAAACACGCGTTAAGCTCCATTCTCCTCCACACTTTGCCGCTCATTCACGCACATACAAAACCACAAGCTACGCAGGCTACAAAAAATATAATAAGTAGACAAACTTTAAATGTATAATGTATTGCTCCCAGGAAGGTTAACATATGAGGAAATTGTGACACGATAATCTATTTTCAAATTTAAGTTTGTCCCGGATCCTCCGCGAAAAGTACTGAAATGTGCTTGGAATGCAAATTTTGTTCTTTCCTCTTTTCCCATTAAAACCGACTTATTTTGTAAGATTTTAACTATGTATTAAATAGAGAACATATTCTTAAGTTACATCTTGGACGCCGACTTCCAAGGAACGTAAGTTGTTTCCGACCAGCTTTGCTTCTTCCTCCAGTTCATTCGCTCTCCTAATGATAAGGAAAAAGTTCATGTACAAAAACATTCAATAGACCAATTTATTCATATTACCTCTCTCTAAGCTAGTGCATAAAAAGATTCCTTCGACATAACGCTAAGGTCGGCGACCCGACCAATTGAAGAGTAGAGTAGCAATATTTTTAATAATGCCCCTGAAACCGCAACAATGCTGAGGCAAAGTTAACTAGCATGGCATTCTACTCAAACCGGGAAAATCCCCAGCCGCCGTCTGGATCTAACTATTGAGCTTAATAAGAAACCACCACAACAGCGGCAGTGAGAAGCCGAGAACGACAAAGCAATTGATTTTATGAGCAAAACATCACCTCTACAAGTACATCATGCTTCAGTTTTTGGTATTTGATGTTCACTGCACGACCACCTCCTAAAACTTCCAAAAGCGACTTTTTATGGGGGACGTGAACAAAACAAAGACGAATTCCCTTTCTCTTTTCAAAGATAACCACAGCGTTTAAGAGATCAACCAACGAAAGTTGACTACATTTGACAAATTAAGAGTATTGAATAAAACGTTTAAAAGAACACAAATTAATTTTTCAAGTGACGTTTTTGCCGCTGTCGTTTTTGCTTACAGTAAGCTCCTGGCACCGTTGTCCGCCTTAACTTTTCTAACAAAAACGGTATATTGCAACCTCGCCAACAGAGTTTTTCAAGGATTTAATAAAAGGGAAAGGTCTTAAGGAGGAGGATGGGAATCCCGGGGGGGCACTTGGGTATTTTTTGGGTGGGTATGTGCCGCCCGGGACTCCGAATTGGCACCCCGTTCTAAAAAAAATTTCTCCTAAAATTGATACCCCTTTCTAGAAATGGGCCAATTTTTTATACCCCGTTCTAGAATTCGCCCTAAAACTGATACCCCGTTCTAGGAATGGGCCAATTTTTTATACTCCGTTCTAGGGTGCAACAAGAGTACAACAGTCTGCTTGTTAACGCACTGAACCGTATTTTTAAAAGCAATCTGTCCTTGAATAATTTCAAATGGCTGCTTACAAAACTGGAGCTTTCGTGCGTTCGAAATATTATACCCTGTTCTAGAAAACGCCTGTGAAATGGATACCCCGTTCTAAATCAGGAGCTTCAAAATCACGACCCCGATGGGCGGCACATACCCGTATAGGTAATGTATGGGAGTACCCCCGGGATGGGAATATGGGTGTGTAGGATGATAACTCACTCGTCTGCGTCTTCAGCTCTAGTTTCCAATTCGTCAAGCTCTTCTTCTTCTTTAGACAGCTGATTACTTAACTGTGTATTGTAAAGGAAAATTGTCTAAATAAATGTTGAAAATGATCGGAATAAAATAAAATTATGCAGTTTAAAAAGAAGATATGATCATCAGTGCTTTTAATTGCAATTAAAATGTGGAATAAAATTAAAGATGATGTGATCTGCCCCCCAAAAAAAAAAGTTTAAACGGCTTTATGATTAAGGACGTTTCACGAAACGTCCTTCAGCGGCGATTTGCATATTAACCCCTCCCCCCTTTCCCCCAAAAAAAAAAAAAAAAATTCAGGGCCTCCTCTACGTTAGCACTGCAGAGCTCTACCAACTGAGCTAAAAGACCTATACATTGGGACCGGCCGATTTATTGAGTTTACTTTAAAACAAAAACAGGCCTTCGCCCATGCCGTGTAGAGAGCATTTCACGAAAGATATTTTTACGAAACCCCCTGTAGTTTTCCCGGCTCTTCTGCTCTCAACGTTTTGGAATTTTCTTCGCTTTCTTTAATGCTATCTGACAGTATCCAGCCCACTTAATGGTGAACTCATGTAAGGGCTAGACTTGAGAAAGAAGTCTCCAAGTCCTTTAAGAAACACAAGATCTTTTTCTTCTTTTTTAATTCTATTTCAGTACTATAAACCTTAACACAATGACCGTATTGGAAGAAACATCTTCTTTCATTGAGGTCTTAACGTTTAACATCATTGAAACGTATTTTTGCTTGGCCTAAGATAATAAACTCCCTTTATCGGCCTAAGATAATAAACTCCCTTTATCTCTGTAGTGAACGTCTCTCGTAAAACCCCTTATAGACTGCAATAGAGTCGTTTTTTTGCTCAAAATCGGTTTTGCAAGGCGCGAGGTGCCGACGTGATATTTGCGCACGAAGCGCGTTGACCATGGCGTGCGTGGCGTCTTTTTCGCGTTTTTCAGTCTAACTCTCCGTTTTTACCCTCATTTGACCGCTCGGGTGCACGTTCTTTATCCAGACAAAATTACAGGCAGTTTTGTAGCCTAAACCCTAGATCGCTGGTTAACTTCTGCCGAGTTATGTTTCTTTAAACTTATTAACCGGGAAGCTTAAAAATAGGAGTACAATGCATCAAACAATCAAACAAGGTCTGAAGTACAAGTTGACATCTAACCTCTTCAATTTCTGCTTCAGCATTCTCGTGACTGTCTCTTTCTTCAGCTAGTTTAGCTTCAAGCTGAGTTTGCTGCAAAAGAGAATTTATAGCCTGAGTATCAGCGTTTCTGAGGGGAAAAGGAGTAAAGGGAAGCGAAGGAGAACGACCTGATACTCAAACTATCAATTGCTTTTGCGTGACGTGACATGACACAGCGCGAAATAGTCATCATTCCTGTTTTGGTCACGTAAATTCGCATCAAACGTATGACAAGAGTACAGTACCTGACAGTACTGAAGAAGTAAAAGGCACATGACATGTCGTGTGTCCTTTTTTTGCCTTTTTACCCCACTGCGGAGCCTGGTCCCAGGCTAAAACCCCCTCCTGTAGCCCTTCCACGCGCCACAACCCACGAGGGGCACGAGAGCCCTTCGTGCGTCCAAAGACTTTTTCCACGAAACAACAGCGACCAGGCGACCTATCCTGATAATATGAATATAGACAAACCTCCCTTTATCATCTACAACGATGACTTCTCTACGTGCCCCTCGTTACACAAAGGTAACCTCTTTCCCCGCCAACAAAAAAAAAAAACAAAAAACAAAAAAAATAAGAAAGACAGAAAGACAGAAAAACAGAAAAAAGAGGCGGCTTTAATACCCGTTCTTCATCTGTTGTTGCTCTTGTTTCAAGTACTTTCCTCGCTCTAGTGAATAAATAGAAAAACATTTAGGATTCTAACCGCTAAGAACGCAAACCGTTTAAACTCACAGATCGATCATCATGAAGAGACAAATGAAAAAACTTTCCTAGTGCCTTCTTATTGACAAGTTGACCATGACGCCGGCCAGGCTGAAGTCAATGATTGTCCTCTTAAAATTTAAAACGTACTGTTTGAAACGTACAACAGGGGTTCTGGGACCCAAAGTGTAGGCATTTTCAACCACTTTACAACGGCATGAGCTCATTCATGAGCTCATTAGCGTCGTTATATAAGAGGGTCTCTATTCGTCCTGTCCCGTGGAGGGAGAGAATGGGGAAAAAAGGGGTTCCTTTTAGGATGAATTCCGACAAGAAAACAAGTCGTGTCGCAATAAAAACAGCCTCAAGGCAGTTTAAAAAGCAAAAAAAAAGTCACGAGCTGGAATTTAAACTGCTACTGCTACTGGCTTCCTCTAGGTCAAAACGTGAAGAACATTTTGAAATTTCAACCACGCAGACATATACCGTAAACTCCCGTGGCTTATATTTTTCAAAGGCCCTTTTTGAGAGGCTTATTTTTGGAGAGTCTTGTGTTCACGAAGAGAAAATTGCGTTTTAAAATCGGCTTAGGCTTATACTTGGAGGGAAATTTGCGTCTTAAAAGCGATTGGAGTAGCTTATAGTTGGAAGGAAATTTATGTCAGTAGTTAACAGAAAGGATTTACTGAAACTCGCCTCGAGGACGTAGACCTTTCAAAAACGCAGCCATGCAGGTACTTTGTCCAGATATGGACCCAGGAAATCCAAGCCGAGAGTGAAGACTGAACTACGCACTACGCAAACAGCAATAAACTGTAACACTTTCTGATTGCAATCATTTGGCACACGTAATAGTTCTTTGGCAAATACAAAAATTTATATTTGCTTTGTTTTACTTTGTATTTGAGGGCAATTTCCAAGTACAAGCCCCCGGGGCTTATATTCGGAGGGGCGATTTAACGGAGGGTTTCTTGCGCTACGAGTTTGGGGGGCTTATATTTTACCGTATGTATTTTAGGCTGTTTTTTGTCCTAAACAAGGTCTGGGTTTTAAACCTTCAGCGGCTCACCTAAACCCAAATATTGGTTGAGCAACCCACCAACCCCCCCACCCCCACCCCTCCATCCCGCACCGGGTTTCCAAAGCCGATCTTAATACAAGGACATATTGTCGGCAGGTAGAAACGTTATTTTTTTGGAGAGTACTTTGTGCTTTTCAAAGAATTTCTTCTTAAACCCACGACACTAACTTGCGGTCCTGCTGCAAGTGCACGTAATAAAGGGAGGATGGCTGAATCATACACCAAAAGGCATGTAAAGTAAACGAAATACTGTATGTTCCAAAACAGTAGGCTGTTGAAGGTCTACCTACAGCTGATAAAATCGGAGAGGTCAACTCCATCTTGAGATTTAATTTGCAGAAATAACAGGTCCCCTGTTGAGCCGAGTTAAAACGAACAAAAGTCACTCTAATTACTTTCCTTAAAGTACATAATTATGATGTTGAAACAAATTTGTTTTTGAAAGAGGAAAGCTCCATATTAACTTGGGCATAAATAACAGTTTAATTTTAGTATTGACTCACAATTAATCATTAATAATGATTTAAAACGCACCGACGTGTTCATAAAATACTTAGAAGTAATCGCGTGGGCAGCCAATGGGCCGTCACGAAATGCAAAACAATTTGAATAAAATTTCTGTTCTGCAAATGCGCCTTTAAACGTTGTTAAAGCAAAATATTTTCTTAAAAAAGATTCCTAAAATTAAATTCAAATCGAATAATGGAGTTAGAGGACAGACAATGCTAATGGATTTCTCTGAATAAAGAACAGTCCGGCAAAATCAAAAAAATGCCCTGAAACTTAATATAATTTTATACAAATACAGAATCACGACACTGTTTGTGAAACTTTGCGACTGTTACTTGGATGTTCATAAATAACATAGCTGAGCAAGAGATCTCTTCTTAAGTAAGCCGCTAGAGGACACCTATAAACCAAGACTAAGATTTTAGGGATTTTAATACACAAACACGGTCTAAAATGTGAACAGTACCTTTCGTTCTCATCCGCTTGCTTCTCAATTTCCTCCAACTGAACTGTAGTTTCAGCTAACATTGATTCCTCTTTATCTAGCTCGTCCTCTACTTCTTGCAGCTCTGTTTGTAATTCACGCATTTCTTTCTCGGCCTGCAAAATATACCTCAGTCAATTGCCGTAGAGTTCATTATTATAACACTAAATCACAAAATTAACAACGACACAGTAAAGTCTTAGAAAACTTGTTCCATCATAATAAAACTTAGATGCGTAAAATACTTAAGTGCTGGTTTCTTTTAATGAAAATTAACTCAAAAGTGCTTTACGACAAAAACCGCGATCTCTTACTGAGGAATAGAGCAAGCTAAGGCCGGTAGGTGTTTACCTTCTCATTTCTTTGTTTTGCATTTTCTAATTCTTCTTCTGCTACTTTTGCCTTTCCTTCAGCTT